ATAGTACAAACAAATAAACAATAATTTACTCAATAAGCTATAAACTTTCTTCAAACATGTGACTGGTTAAGTTTTTGTCTTCCCTATTCCATATTCCTTCTTCCATCTTCCATCCTCCGTCTATCGTCTATCGTCAGTCGTCGTCTATCATCCATTATCTATCGTCTGTCGCCTGTCGTTTGTCGTCTGCTGCTGTTCGTCAATCTGCTTTTGCGCAACAAATATTATGTCAATATTTTTCTATTTTCGCATTCATTTCTATAGTCAACAATTTTTGCAAGGACTTTAGCCTGTAACCTTTATCAGTCAATCTTTATCGCAGACATCACACACCCGTCGTCACTTTTTGACACTTTTTTATTATTTAATTTTGGCTTATTTTTGGGAATTTCTTACACTTTCACACACTCAAATCAGTGTAAATCGACGAAAACCAAAAAAAAAAAAAACTTTATATATATTTTATCAATATTTTTGCAAAAATGAATTTTCTGTGCGTGACAAAATCAGCAAATGTAATAAAAATCATAGGAAAAACTTTCCCTAATCTCAGCTGGCTTCCTTGAGGCAAATAAACCGAACGCGTGTTAGCAATCAAGAAGGGAAAGCACGAAATTTTTACCTTCTCGAACGCATTGGAGAGTCGAGTCGAAACTTAGCACGGAACTTGGAACTTAAAAAATATAAAATAAGAAAAAAACTCGTAACTTCAAAAATTGTTGGAAATTAAATGAAATAACATAGAAAAAGTTTTCAAGTTAAATTATCAACTCGTGCAGAATCCAAAGAAAATGTGCACCATTCCGATTAAAATGAAATCTAGTAAATTCAACTAATAAAGCTAAAAGACGAGTTGAAATAGTAAAAGTAAAAGAAATTACTTAATTCTTCCTTTTTATTTCTTCTGACATTGTAAATATACAAGAAATTAAATTGCATTTCTTCTTTCAATTTACTTTGTCTTAGACACGATGCCGGGATGGAGGAATACTCGTAGAGTGATTTCTTCTACCAAATCAAGGAAGCTGTCCAATTCAGTTGAACTGCTAAAATCCTTAAATTTAACTCAATTTCCGTGTACTTAATAGATTGGAGCACCTTTTTCAGTGAGCTACCCAATTAGGAGCATCTTTTCCAACTAAGCACATTTTTACCTTTTTGATTAACAACAATAATCAATTCAAGGAAAAAAGGATATACGAGGGAGCCTAAGGTAATGCTGTAAAATAAAACCGTATTATTGAAAATACACTAAAAATTATATGTTAATAAATAATTTTAATAATAAATAAATAAT